TTAATTTACCAAGCAATCTCAGTAGGACTAAAGGCGTGGCTTTGCCAGCTAGATCCAGTCCATTCCTTAGCTTCCCAGCCTCATGGCGGATATACAGGCTGTAGCCATGTTTACTGCAACAACTGTATGGCATTTCAAGGTCCCTGCCAGCAAGTGAGCTTCAGCAGCCTGTGCTTGCAAACTGCACGAACCGCCTGCGTAAAAGAGTCAGAGTTTGCCCTGGCAGGACAGCCCAAAAAGCTGGCATTTTTAAACGGCGCAGCTTTTTTCCTGCTATGGCTGAAAACCGAAAAGCATGTGTTCAGCTTTTCATCAACACCGTTTAAGTGTTTAAGTGTTTTAATGAACTGCAAGGTTTTGCAGCTAAAGCTGAGTCAGGAAGCCTCTCTTAGATGAGGCTCTTGCTTGCCTCTGGCAAGCAGAGCAGACCCGAGAACACAGCGAGTCTAGTTGCCATCAAACAAATCGTATCACTTTACTCCAAATGCTCTATTTAAAAGCTCTGTCTCCCGCAGGAGCCAGACAGAGATCGCAATGGCGGCACAGCCCCAGGAAGTCGCGCTTTAAAATGACACAGCGTTTTTTTCTGCTACTGTTGCCGAATCAGGAAATCTCTCTACAGCACGCCACCAACAAACAGCAAAAATCTGTGTTAAACTCTCGCTCCCTTATTTTTAAGCCTTCTCAGGTTTTTTAAGTGGATTTAGCCCCACATTGGGTGCCATATGAAGTAATAAGGGCTGCGGCGGCTGCGTTCCCAGCACCCCAGCACTTGTGGTGTTTATGAGGATAAGCTCATATTTTCTTGGTTTAATAAAGTCCTATTTTGCTCTTCAGATTATAGTCAGTGGTTGGTAGTCAACAAAAACATGTCCTTTTTCTAAATTTTTCTGTAAGTTGTGTTAAAACAAGGTGATTAACTCTCTGGGAGAAACAATAACAACAACAAAAAGAACTTGGGAATTCACTTTTGACCATAACCCCAAATAAATGACAAACAGAGTGAACAGTTACGTTTTTGAAGAACACATTTCCAGGCTAGTGAGATGGCTCGGGAAGCAAAGGACCTTGACACCAGGTCTGAGGCCGGGAGCTCCTTCCATAGAGCTCAAGAGCCAGAAGAGAAACAACCCTGGAGTTGTTCTCTGACCTTGACACACATGTACAGTTGCACACACACACACACACACACACACACGCGCAAGTAAATGTAAAATAAAGTAAAGTAGTACATACTCAGAAAAATCCGTTTGCTTAACTGAGCATACACATAAATTTTCAGCAAGCTTAGTGTTTTAAGGCAACAACGATTTGTGGTATTTGCCACAAATATGTCTGAGAAACAATGTCACACCGCAAACATCATAGCAATATGTCAATGACACAAATTAAAATTAGGAAAGATGGGGCTAAGAAATTCTCAAAGGTAAGGACCTAGAAATAAACAATGAAAATTAATTCATTCATCCATTTTTCACACCAGAGAAATCAAAACAGTAGCAATTCGCCACTGCCATTGATCCCTTTAAATTAGAAAGATCTCAGAGCCAATTTAAATAACTGTAGAAAGCAGGAATATGAGTTACTTTTGGTTCCATTTTCAAATATCTAAATTTTATAAATTCCCACAGTAAACACGTTTTGCCAGGAAAAATTAAAATGTGGGTACATGTAAACTCTTCGCTCCACGCAGGTGCCTAAGCCTCCAAACGTGGTCCTTCTTGTAAGCTGATCCTTTGGATTCAATTTCCTGATGGCATCATATTTAAATTAATCCAAATACTGTTTGTTCTTTGAAAATAAGTTAACAAAAGCAGAGATTTTCACCAAGTTAACGACATCCTACCGTCATATTTTATGACAAGCACGGGAGAGTTGCTTCCCTATAAGACTGCTCTGTTCTTTGTGAGGTCAACGGCCACTGTAAGTTTAATTCTATAGTTGAGCTTTGGGACATTGTCTGTGGGGGTGAGGTGAGGTGTTGCGGGGTTATCTGGGGATCAGGGCAAATGGCGTTGCCGTAGTAAAGGGAAATCTGAAGGAGTAGGCTACCAAGCTGTATCTTTCTTCAGTGGCAAATGTGTGGCTTAGAGTCATCGATTTCAAAGCATTAAAGTTAATCTCAACAAAGACAATTGGCAGCTCTTATGGAAGTGCCCTAAAATAGATCCCTCGAGAAATGCAAGCAGTGAGAATTAGAAAGGATTTTGTTCATTGCCAGCCAAATTTAATAACACCCATGCATGACATGTTATAAGCCGCCGACGTCATTCTTTGTGTGTTGCGGGATAGTAGCTCTCTAAGTACATTTACTTGCTTACTTACTTGCTTTAAGAGACAGAAAACACCTGTGCTGCAGAGAAGCTAAGCAACCCTGAGAAGGGCACAGCAAGGGTATGGACGGGCAAGATTTGAGGCCACACAAAAATGCTTTGAGGTCAAAACTCTGGCTTTGACTGCTGTTCTTGACTTCATACACAGTTTACACAATCTGCCCACACACTCACTTTGGGAGGCAAAGAGAAAAAGAGCTTGTGTTTTATATTGTAACTTGAACTGAGCCTTTGACTGACAACTGTGTTTCAAAAAATGGGTATTTTTTTCACCTGGAAAATAAAGGAAACCAGTTCTCCCAAAGGCTAAAGCATCATATAACAGTGCTTGGCAAAATAACAGAAACTGGATATATTGGGTTCCTTTCTTACTTCCCTTGCTAAGCCGGTCAGGCTTCCTTACTGAGTGGGTTCCACAGCTCTCAGAGGACCACAGACCGCTCAGAAAACTTGCTCATCAAAGACTTAAACGTGGTCTATGAGAGCTTCTGGGTCTCCAGGTGTGGGGAGGGTGTGTGAGAGAAGCCAAAAAAAAGTTGGTATGCATTGATGTTGATGTCGTGGCCCCGTCTGTGGGACTTAGGCAGCTTCTGATAGCCACGTAGTTTCTGGCAGCTCTTGGCTTGCGCTCATCTCCCTGCAAAACCCAGCTCCTGACCCCAAAATGCATTTTGCACAACTGAGCTCCAGCCCAGACTGCTCTGCTCTCTCTCAGAGTCCTCCTATGTGTTCTTCTCCCACACCACTGTCTCCGAGATGGCCAGGTCCACTTCAAATGACCCCTCGTCCACACAGCTGCCCTGCCATTGTAAGTGGAAGAGACCTCACCATCCGCGAAACCTCTGACAAGCTGTAGGCCCTTAGTCTACTGTCAGAAAGGAGAGAGAGAGAGAGAGAGAGAGAGAGAGAGAAAGAGAGAGAGAGAGAAATTCTCAGCAATACACTAAAACTAAAATAACAAACCAGAACCAGAACCAGGGTCCCCTACAAAATTAAAGGCAAGTACCACTGGATTAAAAACGTTTAAAAAAACAGTTTCTCACTAAAAATAGATTAAAATTCTTGGTCTAAAACCAGAGCCATTCTTTGCTGCTCCTCCACTGGACATTTCCCACCAGGAAACACAAGAGACCGTATGTTTCAGCCAATAAGAGCCCCAAACGATAAAGCCCACACGCACATAGACCTCCCTACCATATAGGTAATGTGTCAGAGGACGTTCAGGATGCTGTCCGTCTCTTTCCACCTCAGCAACCTCAGAGAGCAAATAATAATGATAGACTGAGACATGTATTTCAGGGTACTCCGAAGAACAAGACATGTCGATAGTAATTGTGTATAGGTGTGTATGTGTGCATGCAGAGGCAGGAGTGTAATACCAAGTGGCTTCTTCATTCACTGTTCCCTTGGATTTTTGAGCCAGGGTCTCTCACTGACCCTGAAGCTTATGGGTTTCACTAGGCTGCTAGCCAATGAACTCCAGGAATCTGTCCATCGCTGACTGTCTCCCACTGCCGGCTAGTGCCTGCCATACCTGGCTTTTTTCTTTTCATGATTCCTGGGGACCTGAACTCCTTTTCCTCACATGCTGTCTTAGGAATAGCTATGCAACCATTGGTTGTCACGTGCTCTTCCGTAGCTGTCCCTCACACAGCTACCCTAACTGCTAAGTGGGACTTCCATCTTCTACACAGTATACCAGGGTCCATGTAAAAGGAAGAATTTCAGTTATTACTTCCCAAAAGAAGAAAAGGAAATTATAAAGAAATGAGAAAATGAAACTTAGCCTTTAGATCTGTGATCTCTATGGCCTCTTACAAGTTTCACACAATTAAATTAATAACATATACGTATGATCATATATATGTGCTTATATATAATACAAAGTTATTTTCTATTTTTTATTTAGATTTTTTTGTTTGTTTCTTAGATAGTCTTGTGTGGCCCAGGTGGGCCTCAAACTCATTATATAATTGAGAATGACCTTGAACTCCTGATCCTCCTGCCTCTAATCTCCAACCTCTAGAATTTCAGGTATACCACCACCACATTTGCTGTAAAGGGTTTACCCATAAGTTACAGTACATACATTCATGTGTACACATATACTTTCAAACATTTACATTCTGTATTAATGCAATAAGTTGGACTACAGTAGATTGCTATTTTAATTTTATTATGTTTTAATTAACCAATCAGAGGTATGTTTGTTTGTGATACGTTTTCAATTATGCCTACATTGTGAAATGGCTAAAGCATTTAATGACTATGGTATATATTTCAAATTCCCAGGCATACATATAAATACATGTTCTTTTGTATTATCTATCTATCTATTATATATTTCTCAATTTAAATGTGTTTACTTTTTCTGACTTTTTATTTAAAATTATTAACCATCTTATTCCTTCTGCAACAAGTATGCTTACTAATGACTTACAGTACATGTTCTCAATTCAGAATTGTTTGCAACTATAAAATTGCCCATTTCCTATAAAAGATCTATGGAGACTTGCTGTAGTTCGTCATGATACCAAATATATACATTTATGATCTTTGTTTCTGGAAAGGTATCGTTGAACTTTGTCCTTGTGCAAAAAAAGAGACAAACTATTTGATCAAATCATACATGTAATATTTAAATGTAATATTCTTTCCCCCTTGTAGACGAGGGTCCAATGTATCTCTTACCTTGGACATGAGCAGCCTGGGGAACGTGGAACCCTTGGTGGCTGTGTCAACCCCCCGGGAGAAGATAGCCGTGGAGTACCTGCAGTCGGCCAGCCGTGTTCTCACAAGGCCACAGCTGAGGGACGTTGTGGCGACTTCCCACTTACTTCAGAGTGAGTTCATGGTGAGTGAGTCTGCTCGTTCTTACTACTTGGCTTTAATACGCTCAGCACTGCGGCCGGAAGTGGCACTGCCGCCCTCTCTCAAGCAGCTCTCTGTGGACACACGGTCACAAGGCTAAAGGGAAAGAGCCAAGGCTTTAGAATCACCTTCTCTTTCTTCACCTGTTGAGTGATTGCTCAGGCTGCGACCCAATGCTTAACTGACTCAAAGCCTGTTAGCGTCCATCCCTGGTGCTCCTGCACCAGGGAGCTGGGCCGAGAAAGGTGTCTCAGGATTGGGGAACTGTCTTTCTGTGACTGTGGGGGATTGAATTGTTCAGATTTACCGGGGCACTGAAATCAAAACGGGAAGTGGCAAAAGTTGAGCCTTGGAAACATTAAAAAAAGGGGGGGGGGAACCCAGATTTGAATACGTGTTTAGGAATAGGACTTAACCTTTACGTTAGAAAAGCCTTTACGTTAGAAAAGCCCCTGCATCCGCAGGCACTGGAAGGGAACAGAGGGGAGGCTCTAGAGGTAAATCTGTGGAAACCAGAACTCAGGTGTCAGCACTAAAAAGGCACTCACATGAATTGAGAGAATTTGTAACACAAAGCAAAATGTTGGTTCTATTCAACGAGGTAGCCAAAAGAAATGGAGAAGTTCGGGGCAGTACACGGGGTTTTTGTTTTGTTTTGCTTATTGTTTTTTAACTTGGGCAATGGAATTCAAGAAAGACCAAGCACGAGCTTAAAATGAGGATGAGTGCTGTATGACGTTCAGTTTTAGAAAATCAGTATTGCATCAGGTAACTTAATACACGGTAAGATACTACACACACTTTCTAGGTTTTACCTGAGGGAATGCTCGCTGCTTAGATGACTTTACATCATAAAGCAGTCCCACAGCTTAAGCTATAGTGATCCAATATAACAAACAGATGGTTCTATGGTCCGTTCAGTAGAGAAATATCAGTAACCTGCTAGACTCCCTATCAGTGACATCAGCTATCGTCAGCTTCCAAAGTAAACACCAATGTGGAGTTTTCAAAATGAGATGCCACTGTGTGTCATGTTTTTAGACGTGAAGCAAATGAAAATCAAAGATGAAGGAGCCAATCAATGGTCACCCTGCATAGCGAGGACATCTAGTGCCTGTACCGGGGCTGTCAATGGGGCTTTGTTTATGAAAATACCTTTAACATAGCCTGCTTCCCTAAAAGGAAGATGAAGCCAACAAGGAGAGACAGTGTGAGATCCTGAAAGACTGTCAACGTGTGTCAGAAAACAGTGTAACGTGAAAGGCAAAGGAGGCAATAAAGATGTCACCTTCTCTCTGTGGCGTTGTCAAAGCAGACTGACTCGTATAAATTATCAAAAATGAACATGTGGGTTGGGGAGCTAGGTTAGTTGGCAGAGTGCTTGCCTAGCATACATGAAGCCCTGAATTTGATCCCCAGCACCATATAAACCTGAAGTAGTGGTCCATGCCACTCAAAGTAGAGGGAGGTGGATTAGAACGTCAGGGTCACCCTTAGCTCCACAGCCAGTCGAGGTAAGCCAAGGCTATATGAGATCTTGGCTAATAAAATAAAATAAGTAGATAAATAAAACATAAAAAGGTTTTCCTTGAATATTCAACAACTTTATTTTGATGACTCAGGGCTAAGGAACTTAAACGTTTCAGTGGCGTAGAGACTATCTTAAGTGACTAAATAACACAAATTAATGAAGTGGCTCTTTGAAAGGGAAGTTGTCCCCTGCCATCAAGTTTTCAGCTCAAGATGTAGCCTGCCTCTTCCTGAATTTTCAGACTGGCAGAAAATGGAGACAGCTTGAAGTGAGGTCCTGGCTGAGTTTTCTCCTTCCATTGTCGTTATTTTGTTTCCAATGAAAACTGGGTCAAAGAAAACTGGTAAAAACAGGAGGCAGCCAGTGTGGTCAAAGTTGTATGCATGCCTGAAAATAACAAGTTAAATTTGTTGTTTTATTAGAGGAAGGCATTTTATGAGATAGAGGGGTTCAATGTGCATTAATCACCAAATAACAATAGTCATTTTATTTCGTACCACCCTGATTCGTTCAGTTCATTTAAGAACTTTACGTTAATAAATACTGTATTTTTATGAGCAAATCTTAAAACACTTGCCTGTGTCCTTTAGGAAGTTCTTATTCGTTACTTGAGCTCAGTCATATGAGGGTGCTCTTGGTCTTAGTCTTATAGATGGGCACAGAGCCGCTTCTGTGCTTACTCATTCCTCTTTGATTGGTTGAGCCATGTGATGTATAATCTTCCTAGATAAGAATATTCTGTTCGGGCTGGAGAGATGGCTCAGAGGTTAAGAGCATTGCCTGGTCTTCCAAAGGTCCTGAGTTCAGTTCCCAGCAACCACATGGTGGCTCACAACCATCTGTAATGAGGTCTGGTGCCCTCTTCTGGCCTGCAGACATACACACAGACAGAATATTGTATACATAATAAATAAATAAATATTTTTAAGAAAAGAATATTCTGTTCTTCTTAACTAGGAGAAAAACCCCTTTTCCCAGAAGTGTTCCGTCCATAACCACAAATGAAGTAGTGCAATGATAGAAGAACTCTTGACTAAAAACATCTCAGCACATGGACAAACAGCAACAAATCCTTCCACGCTTATGGCTTTCAGAGGGAACTTTTAATGATTCTCAAAGAATCACAATTGATATGGAAAAGAATGCAACTTTGCTGATCTTATAGAAACTTTTTGAAGAAATTTAATATACCATATTTTTAAAAAGTATTTTCCTAAGTGATTTCACAGTAATGCTTACTATCCAAGTGGAGTGTTTTCTGTCTCTGTAGAATCTACATACAAAATAATACTTCCAAACACACAGGGATGCTGCTTACAAATCGGCATACAGGCTGCATCTTACCTGTTTATGAGAGAAAAGATGTTGATCAGCCAGCGGAGTAGTCTAGAGTTGTATAACTTGGAAATCCAGTAGCTTAGAGAGCCAACATCCTCTGGGAAGATTTTCTTTATGTCAGCATTAGAAACAGAATTTGATATCATTTGTTTTTGCAGGAAATACCAATGAACTTTGTGGATCCCAAAGAAATTGATATTCCACGTCATGGAACAAAAAATCGCTATAAGACCATTTTGCCAAGTAAGTTTCTAGAGCTGATAGCTTGCCCAGTAAAGCCATGTTGCCCAGCTCACTTCTGCCTCACCCTTTTCAACCCTCATAACACCTATTAGACAGCACACTTAGAGTGGAAATATGGAAGTTGAGACTAGTCACCACTAAAGTTATCTGAAAAGAAGTAGCTTTATTTCATGTTACATTCATCATTATGACCGGCTCACAATTCCAGAAGATCCACGGTTCTAAGGGACTGTTGCAGCACACATCATGGCTAAATTAATTTCCATCATACATGGATCTACTTATGAAGGAGAAAAAACAAGATATCCTGAGTAAATTGGGAGCATGGGGGTCATGGGAGAGGGTAGAAGGGGAGAGGGGAGGAAGAGAAGAAAACAGAGAAAAATGTATAGCTCAATAAAAACAACAAAAAAAGAACGTAATAAAACATGGCTATCCAATAAATAAATAAATAATAAATCCATGCATGAAGGAAAGAGAAAAGAAATTGAGTCCTGCTTTGGACCATATCTAAAAATTAATTCAAAATGGATCAGACACTTGCATGTAGATAGGAACAAAGACAAAAAGAGAAAAAGTCCAAATTCTCATACGCTTAAGGTAGCCAATGGTTTCTTAGATGGCACTTAATGTATCAGCCACCAAGGGACAAATGGAATGTGAAACACTAAAGTTTTGTGTTTCAATGTCATCATGAAAAAGCAGCACATTATAGAGGAGAGGGAGCATTTCCTATCAGTAAACAAATAAATACAGTTCAGGTTTTGGCAAAATTTCAAGGTATCCAAGGTATTGCTACAAGACAATAACTCTAGCAGTATAAAACACAGACTTTTTTTTTGATGGGTTGATTTAAGTAAGAAATAAATTTGACAGTTCCTAAGAGTACAAGTGGCTAATAATACATGAAAAGTTTTCAGTGTTCTTAGCCATTGAGGAAATGCAAATCAGAATGATGCTGAGCTAGGCTAATCCTAACCCTAACCAACTTCCCTGTTGGTTATTGGAGCACTGAGGAGGTTAAGTCAAGAGAGTACCACAAGTTTGGGGCTAGCCTGAGCTACATAGTGAGACAGACAGACAGACAGACAGACAGACACACACACACACACACACAAAGCCAAATGCAAAACAAGCAAGTGAAGACTACTTTGAGATTCCAGTTCACTCCAGTTAGAATGGAAATCCTAGTAATAATACATGCTAGCTGGTGAATGGCAGGGTAAAAGAGTTCCTTTTTATATGATTGGTGAAAAATGAACCAGTTCCTTCCACCATGAAAATGAGTATGGGGAATATTTTAAAAATTAACAATAGAATTAGTATATGGTCCACCTATACTCTTCTGGTTATATCCTCAAGAGAATCTAAGTAGGCATACAATACATATAATGTAAAAAAAAAAGCAGTTGTTTTTATTATGGAACGCTTCATAATAGACAAGTTATAGTGTCGGCATAGGTGCCCCTACCACATGGGTAACCAAAGAAAGTGTGGTGTGCACACACTGTGGAGTACTAGTCGGGCCTGAAGAAGAACAAAAGTGTCATTTACAGGAGAATGGATGAAATTAAGCCAGACTATGGGACAGATATCACATAGTTTTCATATGCAGAATCAAGATATATTTTAAAATACATGAAAGTAGTAGAGAAACATATTTAAGAGGAGAAGGAATCACAGCAGGAGATGGGAGACAAGAGAGGTTGATAGGGGACCAATATGATCAAACACATCATGTAAACGTATGAAAATGTCATGATAAAACACATTTTTATAACTAAGTCATCTTTTTTTAATTTTATTTTATTTTGGTTTTTCAAGACAGGGTTTCCCTGTGTAGCTTTGGAGCCTGTCCTGGAACTTACTCTGTAGACCAGGCTGGCCTCGAATTTTTAAAAAGGAAAAGGCACTAACATTTAAATAGTATTTTATTAGTTTTCTCAAAGATACAAAATACAAAAAAAGATAAAATATGCATTTATATTTGTGGTAATAAAAATACACTAAATTCAAACAAAGAATTACTATCAATGCTGTGTATGGGATTCCTGTTCTGGCAGAAAATCTCTCCACTGTAATATATTTTTAGTGAGTCAAAATAGTTAAGTCTATTTCTTAAGATATAGCTCATTATTGAAAGGTATTTTATTTATGACTATAAAAGAAGAGAGTGAAAAAGATTTCCTCTCCCATCACCTTTCTCTCTCTCTGATTTTTCAAGACATGGTTTCTCTGTGTATCCCCAGCTATCCTGGATCTCCCTCTCCCTCTGTAGACCAGGCTGGCCTCAAACTTAGAGATCCTCCTGCCTCTGCCTCCTAAGTGATGAGATTAAAGGCATCCCTCTCTCCCTCTTTCTTAAAACTTTCTCTAAAATATACCAAGCATTAAGTCATCCGGACTAATGTCCCCACTGCAATGATTATATGTCCTGTGACTTTAAAAGGATTTTCAGTTTGTTTGGGTTACTTCAGACTTCCACCTTCTCTATTTCCTGTCCTGGGCCACCGTCTGTGTCAGCTTTTCCATTTCTAGTACTGGGTGGACACTTGGTCCAGGGTGCCTCTGCTGACAACTGATGCTGCGAATGATGGATTCTCAGTGGAAAGTTTCCATAGCCTGAAAATGTCTCCCACCCTCATCCCACAAACTATAACTCAGAATAGATAGTTTAGACATGCCACACCTTCGGCTCCAAGTATCAGAAAAGACTGTAATGACAGACATGGCTGTTCTTTGTGGCTTGTTGTAGACTTTAACATGACACAAAATTGAAATGTCACATGAGTTGATAATTAGCAGATGATTAGGATTTTAAATATCATAATTGCCTTTACTGCTATAGTTTATAATAGACCCTTAAGTTTGAAGATTTTCCATGTGTGTATGTATTGCTAAGGCTATCTGCTTTTGTGGGTATATTGCTTACCAACAGTTGATTAAATTGTTGCTGCTTCTTTGAGGACATTGTCTAGCTCAGAACAGACTAAGTATTAGATTAAGGTCCTAAGGCCAAGTTTGGATCAAACTGTCTCGCAGTATAAACAAACATTAGAGGTAAAATGCTTATATTCTGAAGGGCTGGCTTGGGTAATGTAATGAAATACAAAGAATTGGGTGAGGGTAGCCCAGTTCTTTCTGGAGGAACGGGAGAAAAAATAAGGCTGTAAATATAAAAACTAAAGAAAAAGGGAAGAGTCGAGAATCAGAACTCCATTGAAACATGTCATGACCTGTGTCAGCATCAAAAGTCAGTGGGAGGAACCAAATGTCACAGATATATCAATAGATGTGCACACACATGCACCAGAGACAAACGCTGATGCTGAGTTAATGGCTTTGAACTTGCACACTTCTCTTTGCTGCTTATGGTTGGTCCAGAGACTTTTTATTTGGAAAGTAAATCTATTCAATGTGTTCTCTCTGCAGATCCCCTCAGCAGAGTGTGTTTAAGACCAAAAAATGTAACCGATGCGTTGAGTACTTACATTAACGCTAATTATATTCGGGTAAGTAAGTAACTTTGCATTTCTTTCTGGTTGACGTGTTGATTTACCATTTTATCTTTTTTAGCTGAGAAAGATGCCCCCCGTCCCAGCTTTGCTTCTTTCTTCTTTACCCAGAATAAAGTTCTCTTTAATTTGGTAGCGAGTGTTTCATGTATGTATGCTATAGCCACATCAGTTCCGGTGGTAGGTGTCTTACAGTGAGTCCTCCTCAGCTCTGAGTCCCTGAGTACAGGCTCCATGTGGACATTATGTAAAACTGAACTTTGCAACCCTCACTGCCAGATGATGCAAAAGGAAACTGCTCTTGTGTCTCCCGGCCACCTAGACCCAAATAATCACACAGAAACTATATTAACTACAATACTGTTTGGCTGTTGACTCGGGCATATTTCTAGCTAGCTCTCACGTTTTAAATTAACCCATTTCTATTAATCTGTGTGTCACTAAGAGGCTGTGGCCTACTGGTTAGATTGCAGCATCTTTCTCCTTTGGCAGCTACATGGCTTCTCCCTGACTCCGCCTTCTTTCTCCCTGCATTCAGTTTAGTTTTCTCACCTAGCTCTATTCTGCCCTGCCATAGACAAAATCAGCTTCTTTATTAAGCAATGGTAATAAAACATACTCACAGCATATAGGGGAACTTCCACATCAAAATGGCAAGCTGGATTTTCTGGGAAGTACCATACATGTGCCTGGTGGTGCTAGTTATCAGGGCAGCCACTTTGACCTACCACAACTCCGTTATTCTGAAGCTCACCCCCGCCATCCCACCAAATGTCCACTGCAATCCATACATATAAATGACTGTGTTTGTCTCTTTACTCCGAACAGGGCTACAGTGGCAAGGAGAAAGCTTTCATTGCCACGCAGGGCCCCATGATCAACACTGTGAATGACTTCTGGCAGATGGTTTGGCAGGAAGACAGCCCCGTGATTGTTATGATCACGAAACTCAAGGAGAAAAATGAGGTACGACGTTTAGCCCAGTTCTGAATGTTATACATGCTATTCCTACTATAAGACAGATTTGGAATAAATGAGATCACATGTACTTAGAAAATATTCGTATAAAATAGGATATAGACATTAAATGACAAGGTCACTTAACACCTCCAGCAAATGATGGAAGTGTTGTTCTGTGAGTGACAACCTTCCTTCAGGCAACTTAACACATGTGGCATACATGGATCTCATTTGCACACATGTTTCTCAGTAAAGACAAAAGGATGAAGAAGTAAAAATTATTCCAAAAGCAAGTAATCCTTTATTTATTAACAGATGCCATTCTGGTTGTTGGCAGATATATATTTGCATATATATATATATATATATATATATGCAAATAAAATATATCAAGATTCCTTCCACTGGTAACTTTAACTCCCTAGTAGGAGAGATACAACAAATCTGTTAATAACAGCACAGTAGAAGGGATAGATGCTGTTGGATACAAACCAGACCAGGACAAGGGAGTGACTGGGCAGTGTGATGGGGCAAAGGGACAATTAGGAACAGCTTAGGAAAATGAGACTGAAAGACACATTGGAGAGAAGGGATAGCTACTTTCCCAATGGCTTTATAGTAAGAAATCTGTCCCCATTAAAGAAAAATAGACAAATGTATATTTATCTCCACAGTGGCAATCTTTTCTAAGGGCTTGGCTTGCAGAATGACGTATTCTATATTTTGCACCATAAGAACAAAGTTGAGCAGTTCTTGGGGACTGCCATTCCCGGTGCTTCTTGTGTGCTAGGCATCTTGTTGAAATAATTAATGGTTGACTTTAGTTGTTTTTGTTGTTGGGTTTTTTTTTTTTTTTTGTCAAAATCATCACACCATTTAAGGCAACTCAGATTTCTCTTTTCTTTCTTTTGGTAAGCTATAAGTTCAATTGTACAATTCTGCTACTAGTTGAGAGAATGCAAACCCACAAAACTTAAAATCTTTTCAAAAAATTGCTGGTTTCTTTCATTTTCGCTATAATAAATGAAACGTGTCCAGAAAGAGAGCATGTTTCTTCCCAGTAGACGAAGTTATACATGCAGCTCTCTATATGTCTCTCCATCTGCTATGTGATCCCAGGGCTGCATGGTAGAAACGAGCCCTCATCCTCTCAGACTTTTCGCATACAGTATCAACCTGTTGATGGATTAACTCTCTGACAATCCCTGCACAGTTGTTCACAATGCACGCTTCAGCTCTGTGATGGGACGGATTCTCCACGTTCCAACGTGTGTACCTCTTCGTGTGCACATCTGTGTATGCGTGTAGAGGATTTATGTAGTATGGTGGCTGGTTCACCCTAGCACCAAAGCTAGCAGTCAAGCCTTGCACACCTTTGTGGGGAAGGCATTTATGATACGACTGTGATAGTAGAAATTACAAATGTCTAAATAAATTTTCATGACGTAATCAGTGTCTTAGAACCTATTTCTATCCTTATAAATTCTATTTCTTCTATTAAAAATAAAATCAGCCAGGCATGGTGTCTCACACCTGGAATTTTAACACCAAGGATGCTGAGACAGTAAGACAATTGTGAGTTGAAAGTCCTCCTGGGCTACAGAGTGAGATCCTGCCTCAAATTAATTAATTAATTAAGACAAAATCAAGGCTGTGAAGGGGCTGGAGAGATGGCTCAGTGGTTAAAGTGCTCACTAACCTTTCAGAGGAGAGGGATTGGAGTTCAGCACCCACAATTGGGTGGCTCACAACTGCCTGCTTCTCTGACTCCTGGGGGCCTGGCACTCTTTCTGGCCTTGTGCACTCATGAACATATAAATAAAAATAAATGTTTAAAAAGCCAAACATAAGAAAGAAACATGACTATGTAATTATTTGTAATATGTATAAGTACATGTTTTTGGAATACATATATTTTGAAGAGAAAACGTTGCTTGTTATAAATTGTGCAGAATCACTAAGGATTAATGTTAGGAGAGCATACATGGCAGAGGGTCTCGTGAAGATTATCTAACAGGTTGCAATGACTTTGTGTTAAATTATGATGTGTGCTCACTTGAGCCTCTTAAATCTTAGCTTCTGTGATACATTTTCATTCGCTCATAAAAAAGATGAGACATGTGCTGTAAGCACCTTAATTTGTTCTTTTGATATTTTTTATCCTTTGAATATTTTATAAATTTGTACAATGTATACTGATCATATCTGTCTAGACACTACCTTCCTCCAAGACTTCTCATGTCTGTCTAACTGGAGATTTTCAGGGCAGAATAAAGTTGATAGTCAGAGAACATCCCTTAAGCACTGGATTTATGTAACACGTGTTAAAGAAACCCACTATGAGCGATTGGGGCTATGTCAGAGTCCCAAAGAATGGTCACCCTTCTTTAACCCCTGGACCAAGGCTATACTCCTACCAGAACTGCTCAGGGTCAGAGCTGTATGTTAAAGTGCTGCAGGGTACATCCCCTGGAGGTACGCAAGCTCTCTCTCCACCCTGTATTCACAAGGGAGAAAAGGGGGTTCATCCGTGGGGGTACATAAGCTCTCTCTCCACCCTGCACCCACAAGGGAGAAAAGGGGGTTCATCCCCTGGGGGTACACAGCTCTCTCTCCACCCTGTACGTGCAAGGGAGAAGAGGGGTGCATCCCCTGGGGGTACACAAACTCTTTCTCCACCCTGTACCCACAAGGGAGAAGAGGAGTACATCCCTTGGGGGTATGTAAGCGCACTCTCCACCCTGTACCCACAAGGGAGGAAAGCTCCTTTTCTTAATTTTTTGCTTCCATTCTGTTTTTCCCGTGCCCACAAAAGAGCTGTGTGGATCTGATGAAAGCTAGAATACCTTTAAAAAAAAACAACTCTCACTTTAAAATGTTGTTGAGGAATTTGTTTTTCTCTTTGGCGGCATAACTCAGAACTTGAAGGCGTACTTTATTGGTTTGTTTTTCATTTTTACCATTTGGCCTCTTATCTTTCCTAAGGTTTGAGATACACTCCCAGGGATGTGAAAGTCAAGCATGTTATGTATTTGCTGTGATATCTGCCGCTTGTTTATTTCCTGGAGCCAGGCATAATCCAAAACAGTGCAAGACAATGCTTTTAACCATTCTTTCGCCTTTAAATTAAAATGAAAATCTTTATGCTCAAGCACATTATACATGTAATATCATACATGCTACTCTAATGTTCTGCTGATCAAATGATTCTGAGAAGTCTAGTTTAAAAATAATACACCATAGGTTCACGCCACCAGGAAAATGCTGGCTACTGAACACTGGCCAGTTCTCAATTGTGCTCAGTGTCATTGTTTAAAATAGACGAAAATCATTTCCTCCAAACAATACGGAGGTGGAGATATCTTTAGAAGTTCCCACGCTTTATATGTTTATGAACTGTTTACTTTCTAATAAATAAAGAAATGAATAATCACCACCTTCCTTTGAATAATTCCAATAATCTCAGGTACATTTTACAGAATGAGAATAAACAAAAAATAAAAAAAAAACTAGGACTGAAAAATGAGTATTTAGAATAAAAGAGTTGCTGGCGATTTTGAGTCTTTCATTTGTTAAATGAGTCTCAACATGAAAAGAATTCCTTATAAAGGATCTGGGCTTTGGATTTGGAAAACCCCAGGAAAAATAAGTTAGAAAGTCGTAGCAATGGTCCAGGCAAGAAATGCTGAGGGACTGAGTTAAGGCAGAGGCAGGGTCCTTTAGAACAGGGAATTGAGTTGAGGAGTGTTCCAGAGCTGAGAGCCGCAGGGCTTTGTTGTGATTGAAGCGGAGGCAGATGAAGGAGCACTGTACCCTGGTTTAAACAGCTGAGTGGATGGGGGTGCCATGAACCCAAACTGGGAGAAAAAGGCGGATTTTGAGGGAAGAGAATGAGCTTTGCATTAGAAGTACGAAGTTTGGGGAGTCCTGGAGACTTTGGGTTGGTACTTAGAATTAAAGGTCTAGAGGACTGTATAGGCAAGAGATGAAAATAAGGGGCCACGCTAATAGAAGACATAGGAAGGCTTAGAACTGATATAAAGAGAAAGATGGGGTATTTATACCCCATTGTGAATAATCTCTTTGCCATAGTTCATTAAAATATTACTGTTAATAACTGCTGGATCCCATTGTGTGGATATATCAAAAGCATGCAGTCATTTGCTTATTAACAGATATTTAAATTGCTTTAACTTTTTTTGTCCACACCTCTAATGAGCTGATGTTTATTAAGATATATTTATACATTATCAGACCAAATGACGTAGGTTCTTGAAAAACCACAGTCCAGTGAAGGATGATACAGAACACACCGTAAGTGTAAAGGAACTTCCCCTCTGCACTCTGGAAGTTTCAGAAATTAAGCCTGCTGAGTAAGCTAACATAGAGTCACAAGGAAAGAGCAACACAAACATTGTAGATACACAGGAGCATCACTAGAATGGAAAGTGAACATCCAGTAAGATTAAAATCCTTACATGCAGTTTTCCTTTGGGAAAATGAAGTGGGGAGTGTAAACTGTGTTTAGAAATTCACTGGGGGAAGGGAAGGGCTTCTTGTTTGATCTCAGTCTTCTGTATTGTTTTGTTTTGTTTTATTCATGCGTGTGTATTAGATTTTGAGTCAGGATACTCCTAGGTAGCCCAGGCTAACCTCAAACTCACCACCTCCTTCCCTTGGCCTTCTGAGTACTGGGATTACCAGAGTAAGCTGCCATAACCATCCTGGGGAATTGTTTTTAGGGGAAATAAATGGGCCAGAAGAACTTATCAGAGTCTTGAACAAAGTTCATCTGGGCTCGCTGGGTGTGGTGTCAACTCTTGTTCTTTCCACTGGTGAATCTTCCTTTGGAGATTCTAGGGAGGGCCTGGAAGAACTTCCCTCATTCAGATAAGGATACTTCAGAGGGAGCCGCTTCCTGGGGCTCTGAGGGTTGAGCTGCAGGGGCAGGAAGTCTAACTCTTGGTTCTGAAACAGCGGCTGTAGCTCAAGGCACTTTAATATCA